TAAGCATTCTGTAGATAATGTTTCCTGGAACAATTTCCTAGAAGTATACTTTCTGGGTCAAAGAGTGCATACTTTTATACCCTAGATTCATATTGCCAGAAAGATTGTATCAACTTATAAGCTACCAGCAATATTTGAGAGTGCCCATATCTCCCCATTTTTGTCATCACTGGACACTGATGTTCCTTGTCATCTTCATGACTACACTGTGTTTGTAAATTTAACACATAAACCTTTGCCCATTCCCTCTTAATTCGCGATCAATCTAGGGAAGACAGATTTTTTTTAAATGACACATATGGGAAAAAAACAGCAGAAAAGAAAGAAAAAATAAGAGAATAAGAGAAAAAAACAAGTCAAAGGTGATAAACACTGAGGAAAAAAAAACCAGAATTATAGAATAGAGCAATGGCCAGACACCTATAATTCCAGCACTTTGGAAGGCTGAGGCAGGAAGATTCCTTGAGCCCAGGAGTTTGAGACCAGCCTAGGCAAATAGGGAAACCTTGCTCTACAAATAAATATTTAAAAATTATAGGCTGGGCTCAGTGGCTCAAGCCTGTCATCACAGCACTTTGGGAGGTTGAAGTGAGGGGATTGCCTGAGGCTGTGGGTTTGAGACCAGCCTGGGCAACTTGGCGAGACCTCATCTCTACAATAAACAAATAAATAAATTAATCGGGCATGGTGCCTGTAGTTCTGGCTACTTGGAAGGCTGAGGCAGAAGGATCGCCAGAGCCCAGCAAGTCGATGCTGGGGTGGTCATGAGTGTGCCACTGTACTCCAGCCTAGGTGTCGGAGTGAGACTCCAACTAAAAATAAATAAATAAATAAATAAATAAGAGCAGCCTCCAAGCCTCAAAACATAGGGAACTTAACATGTAGTCAGAAATTAGTATGAGCCTAAACATGATTTTGGTCATGAAAGAAGTTTAAAAAGATAATGTCCTTTTTAGGCCAAGCCTAGCAAATAAGAACACTGTACAAATAAGTATCAGGCTCTTCCATATGTGGTTGCATTTAATTCTCAGAGCAGCTCTCTGAGATGGGAATGATTGTTCCCATTTTGCAGATGAGGAAAAGTAAGATGATAAAGATCATACAGATGATGAATTGAGCCCAGATTTGAATCCAGGTCTGCCTGGCTAGAAAATGGATGCATTTCCACTTAATCTTCCTAGAAGGAATGAGGTTAAAGACTTGCAACTAATGCTGGAAGGTAGTACAGCCCTCTTTGGATTCATATTGCTAAACTGCTCTCCAGAAAGGAGCCAGACTCCCTCGGTTTGAATCCCAGCTCTGCCATTTACCAGCTGTGTAGTGGCTCTTAGTCTTTCTATGCCTCAGTTTCCTTGTCTGTAGTATGGCTTCATAAGTGTCACGACTGAATAATTGTAAGGTGCCTAGAATAGTGGCTGGCACATAGTGAAGTGCTGCTTAAGCTTACTATTTCCAATATGGTGTTGCATGGCCATGGAACTATTTCTAAGGATCCAGTTGCCAGGATATTCTAATGCAGTAGCCTTGGTTGTTATACAGTCAGGGACCATGTAACAACCTTTCAGTGAACAACTGACTGCATATATAATGCTGGCCCCATAAGATTGCAATACTGTATTTTTTCTTTACCTTTTCTATGTTTAGATATGTTTAGATACACAAATACTGACCATTGTATTACAACTGCCTACAGTAATGTGCTGTACCTGGGACAATTGGCTATACCATAGAGCCTAAGTGTGAAATGGGCTGTACCATTTAAGTTTGCATAACTATACCCCATGATGTTTTCACAATGACAAAATCACCAAATGATGCATTTCTCAGAATATATCTCTGTCGTTAAGTGACACATGACTGTACCCACGTGGTCATGCCATAGTGGAATTTCCTGTGGTACAGAACTAACTCTGCCACCATGTTTTATTTATCTAGTCTTGGGGGGAAAAGAGGAAGAGGTGAGTGCTGCCATGCTACATTGTCAACAGAGTGAATATAAACAACTCCAGAGACTTGTCCCATGTACATTTACCCAAGGGCTTGCCGCAGAGACAGTATGGCTGGATGTGAAAGCTCCTTGCTCAGAGGACCCTTGGCTGACCTAGAACCCATCTGCCTACTCTACCACCTGGGAATGAAATAGAACAAGCTTCCTCCACCCTTGCCTTCTCATTGTACATATAGGGTTTGCATGATAATAATTAAGATAAAATCATAATGGCTTACATGTTGAGTGCCAGGCACTGTCCTAAGCACCTGACGTGTACTGTTTCACTTAATTCTTACAACCACCCTTTGAAGTCGTTATCCATATTTCCCTTTTACAAATGAGGAAATGAAGTCTGAGTTCAGAATCTTTCATCCTGTGACACTGTACTGTCTCCTGTTTGAGAACATGCAATTTTGGAGTGAAAAATGCCAAAGAAAGCACTCAACACTTCTCAGCCTGATCATTTATCATCCAACCTTTCTCAGTTACAAGAACATTCCTCATTAGAACCACCTGCAGCAATATATTTACGAACTGAAGTGAGAGTCAACAAATGGATTATGGGCTGGGCACAGTGCCTCATGCCTGTAAACCCAGCACTTTGGAGGATTACTTGAGCCTAGAAATTCAAGACCGACCTAGGCAGCATAGTGAGACCTTGTCTTCACAAAAAAAAAAATCAAAAAGTTAGCTGGGCATGGTGGCTTGTGCCTGTAGACCCAGTCACCCAGGAGGCTGAGACAGAAGGATCGCCTGAGCCGAGCAGGTTGAGGCTGCAATAGCCATGATTATGCCACTGCACTCCAGCCTGGGAGACAGAGTGAGACTCCAACTCAAAGACCAAAAAAAAAGAGGAGAAGAAAGAAAAGGAATGGATTATGTATTTGCCACCACTTCAAGACTTTTCAGGTCAAATTCTTTTTTTTTCTTTTTTCTTTCTTTTATTTTTTTTAGAGGCAGGGTCTTGCTCTGTTGCCCAGACTGGAGTGCAGTGGAATGATTACAGTTCACTGAAATCTCTACTTGACCTCTGGGCTCAAGCAGTCTTCCTGCTTCCACCTCCCAAGTAGCTTGGATTATAGGTGTGTGCCACCATGAGCAGCTAAGTTAAAAAAAAAAATTGTAGAAATAGGATCAGGCATGGTGGCTCAGCCTGTAATCTCAGGACTTTGGGAGGCTAAGGTGAGAGGATTGCCCAAGCCTGAGAGCTCGAGACCAGCCTGGGCAACTTGGTGAAACCTCATCTCTACAATTAATCACAAAACTAGCCGGACATGGTGGTGTGTGTCTGTAGTTCCAGTTACTTGGAAAGCTGAGGCAGAAGGATCGCCTAGGCCCAGCAGGTTGAGGCTGCGGTGGCCATGACAGTGCCACTGCACTCCAGCTTGGGTGACAAGAGTGAGACTCCAACTCAAAAAAAAAAAAAGAAAGAAAAGAAAGAAAGAAAGGAAGAAATAAATAAGGTCTTACTATGTTGCTCAGGCTGGTCTCAAACTCCTGGTCTTAAGAAGTCCTCTCGCCTCAAGCCTCCCAAAGTGCTGGGATTACAGGCATGAGCCATAGGACTCTCAGGCCAAATTCTTATACTTTTTTGGTGAGATTGGGAAGTGGAGAGAGAAAGATGAGGCAGGCGCTCGCTCTCGCTCTCTCTCTCTCTCTCTCTCTCTCTCTGTCTCTCTCTCTCTCTCAATCTCTTCCTAAATGTAAAAAAATACTAGGCACTTTTTAGTGGAGCAGACTGCAGTAACACCCGGCCTGATTAAGGAATGACAATATGGAAGGCAGATGGCAGATGCATGGATGCCACACTATTGCCTTTCAGTTAAATATTGCTTGGTGTTATTTTTTTTTTTCTTGTAAACCTCCCAAATAAAATGGTTTGCTTTCCCCAAGTTAGAAGTGTTAGCACGTCTTTTCTTTAAATATCTGTGCATAGCTGTTTTTTTCCCTGCCAATTTGTCACCATCTGTAACCCTCCCTTTATGAGATGATCTAGTGACAGCGCTTATCTTGGAGTGTAAAGTGTGGTCTTTAAGCAACATGTAAGAGTGAAGTCAATGGGGGCTGCGTGTATGGGGGTGCTGTCTTGCTCTTTGTGTGTGTGTTGTGTGTGTGTACTGAACAACTTTGTGTGTTGGTCTGTAAGTGTGCAGTGTGTGTACATTCTGGAAGCATCTTCTCTGCGTGTGAATGCTGGGCTGGTCCGCGTGCCTGCCTGTGTACTCGGGGTCGTGTTATCTGATGCCATGTGGACACCCCGTATGTGAGCGAGGTACCTGTGTGTTTGCTGGCCGAGGTGGGGCTGTGCGGACTTCTGGGGGAATGAGTTCCTCGGAGGACATGATTTCGTCAAAGTGCTTAAAAGGGTCGGAGAGAGCCTGACATTCTGGGGAGCCGGGCCAAGGAATATTAGCACGGTTTGGGCCTGGGTCAAAGGAAGGTAAATTGGGGGTGGCTCGCAGGAGGGTGCTGCTGAGACGCGGGGCTGACGGTGAAGAGCTAGCGAAGGCGCCTCTGGCGTCGCTGGAGGGCAGCCCGAGCTGGGGGAAGAGCGCTCCCCCACACCCCCGCGCTCCCCCCGCCTCCGGGCGCGGCGCCGCGCGGGGAG